GTTTGGTGGTGTAAAGAGGCGGGGCGGGCGGGCCAGGGCGCTTGTGTGTGAGTGAGGGGCCTGGGAGACAGGGAGACAGATGCAGAAACAGAGGGAAACAGGGAAGGAAGGGGAGGAAAGGGCAGAAATGAGGGAATGGGACGGCAAGGAGAAGGGAAGGAGAAAGAGGGGTAGGCTGCTGGGTTAGAAGTTGCCTGAAAATACCAGGGAGTTTAAAAATTAACTGGATTAAGGGGGAGGGTATAGCTTAAGTGGTCGAGCACATGCTTAGCATGCTCAAGGTCCTGGGTTCGATCCCCAGTACCTTCTCCAAAAATAAATAAACCTAATCCCCCCTGGGAAAAAAAACCTAATAAAAATTAGCTGGATTATGGACTATAGGAAAGAAAAACACTTCACTTTGTTAATATTAGATGATTATTACTTCTCTGCTTTTTTTCTAATTGTTAATTTCCATCAGTTTCTAGCAATCTCCGTATACTTTCCTAGACAGCAAAAGATGAAAGTAATATTCTGTATGTCATTTTAGCTGACACATTGGGTTGTGCTTTCTACTAACTTTGGTCTCCCACCCGGGTACCTGTCATGGGCAGATGACACCGTGGCAACTATTGGATTTAACCTGAGAGCATTTAGACTTGGTGCTTGAAATTTCCCATCAGGGGACATGCTGACCAGTGAAGCCCCCAATTCCTTATCCAAGCAAAGAAACATAAACCACATAAACCCAGAAGCTCTGTATTAGTTCGTCAAATGTTTGGTTTGCGTACAAGGCAACCATGAGTGGCAGTATATCATGTAGTCGGTGTATCGTTAAACCCTGAAACCGGAACCCCTGGGTCTGGATAACAGCTCTGCCGCGTATCAGATCTGCAATCCCGTTGAAGTTCCCGAGGGTATCTTTGTCCCATCGTTACATCCGGGGAGCTAGGCAAATAATAACACCTACCCGTAGATTTGCTGTGAGGGTAGGAGGAGTAAACTCGAAGCCCCTAGGGTAACATCTGACCCAAAGTGAAATGTTAACAGCTGCGCTTACTATGATGGGAAAGGACTTTACACACTCAGACAAATTTAATACATGTGTATGTGTGTGTATTTATAAAGAGGGAGGAGGAGCAACTGAATGAAGACAGAAAACATAAAAGTATAGAAATGTTGAAACACAAAAGTTAACAAGTTTATCATGATAGTTCTGCAAACCTTCAAACACACTATTCGCCAGATGTCAACATCGCAGTTTTCTGTCCCAGGTTCTTCTCTGGCAGATTCAAATATCCCAAATTCAAATCGAAATGCCCCTGGGACTTCAAAACTAATTTAGAAACAGAAAGTACAAGCAGATTTCTATTTAATATGGCGTCTAATTTTGAGGGTCTAAAAACTTAACATTTAATGAGTGTGGTTCTGAACACTTTATGTGAAATCAGCCCACTGCTCACAAAAACCCTATCAGAGGAAATGCTATTATAATATCCCAATTTCACAGTTGAAAGAACAAGGCACAGGGAGATTAGAAAGCTATTTATTGAGAGAGCTGCTATTTGATCCCAAGAAGACATACTTCTGAGCCTCGTATATTAATCTTTAAAATATTTGCCTAATAGAATTATTATTTATTTATACCTTATAATGTAAGAATTTCAAATACTGAATCAGAAAATGTAGTGTGGGTCTGTTATTTACTATGTGACGTACAGATGGAACTTAAACCACATTTTAATGGATACTTAGTTTCAGAACCAAACATGATACATCATTTTACTTGGTCACCAAGTGTTTTCCTGCACAATTAATTTAAAGTAATTAGAATAGTGTGCTACACTCTATTTTAATAATTATAATAAATTTTGATTTCTAAAATGTCAAAATTAGAATTTCTATATTATGAAATAATATTTCTATCACTGTTGGACAATATTAATAACGTGCTGATATGACATTGAAAAATAGCTTAATTATGCAACACACAAAAATGATGAAAACATAAAATTAACTTTTGAAGGGTTTGCAAAAATGTATATTTACAGCAAAAAGAAGTTCGTAGGGAAAAGGAATCATTAATGTCTGTCCTAAAATATTATGATTCTGTAAATATAAATGTCAATTCAGCCACCTTTATAAGACATGAATGAATCCAATGTATGTGCAGATTTTAGAAATGTGAGATACAAAATATTGACTTCATTCTCATGATATATCATCTTATACTTATTACTGTCTTTTTTTAAATTCACATATAACCTTTCTACATTTTCACCCTTACAGAAGCACAGCCCAGGTGAACAGGGGAAATTCCACTAATGAAACACTTAGTCTTTGTTTCAAGTGTAGTCAAAGAATGATTGGATTTTTAAACTGGCTTTAGTAAGTCTACTTAAATTTTCTTTGCATATGCTGCATACACATTCATTGGACTCTGTTTTACAAAGCTGGTTCTTTCTTCGGTCCACAGCCTTATTCTAAGCAAGTTATTTCAAACTGAATTGCAAGGACTCCTTCTAGGGTGTGCTATTTCACTGCGCCATTTTATTTACTCTTTCCTTTCTTTTCTTTTCCATTACGGTTTATTACAGAATATCGAATATCGTTCCCTGTGCTAAAGGAGCTTGGTGTTTTTTTTACCCTTCTCTTTGGACATTTTCACACGTGATCAGGAGTCAAAAATAATGAACATCGTCAGTTGCTGAGCATAAATGGGATACCTTGGCTTTGAGGAATTAGGCCTAAAAATTTACTTTGAAAATGCTGAATGTGGTTGTTTGATAGAGAAGCATCTCAGCATGCAGATCAAAACCCAAACTGGGAGGGCTGTTAAAACCGACGTTTCTGGGTTTTTAGGAAATAGTCATTTTTTCAGTTTTGCTTTGGACCCTGGCCCTAAACCAAAGACCTAAATGTATCAAACAAAGAGAGTTCTGCTTATTCACAGAAAGAGCACAACAGATGTGGGGTAACCTTTGGCCTTGGTGACAGGTGACAGTTGACTCTGTCCTTGTGCGATTTAGAAACAGAAACTGAAAGGTCTTTTTTCAGCTCATTCTTGGAGCAAAAGTGTTCCTGGAAGATCTGAGATGGTGTCTATAAAGTTTATCACTAAAGCAATACGGATGAGGAGAGTCAATCAAATTTTATTACATATACTGCAGCTTAAAAGAACTTTTATTTTAGCTTCATGGCAGAGAACAGCTCTAGAGTGTTCTCAATCAGTAAATTAGTTACAGGAGAAACATACTTCATTTAAAAAATATATCTTAAGAATTGGTCCAAAAGGAAATTCTTTAGTAGTCAGTGAATTTTCCTGGCAGGCAGCATTATAACCTGTCTTGTTTCAGGCTTCCCCTAGAGGTCAGGCAGAGAGAAACTGACTTCGGTTTGATCACTGATTTGTTTAGTAACAGTTAGGCTGACAGACAGGTTGCAGAAAAGTGAGAGATGGGCACCAGCCATGGAGCTATGCATCTTGGTGCTCTGAACCGTAGGCGGGGAGATGAGGGCCTGTCCTGGGCTGGTAGAAGCTTGCCATCTATCCCCATTTACGGGTTCTGCAGATCCTTGTGGCCAGTGAGATTTCCACATTATCACGAGCTTTGCGGTAAAAAGCTGAAGTGAACTCTGCTCTGTTGTCCCTTTGGAAGATACATGGGGTGCCTGGCAAGCCGAAAAAAACATCATCTGGTGTGTAACCTCAGTTACAGTTGGAAGGCAGGCGTCTCAGTGCACAATGATCAAGGGAACACACACATTTGTAACACTGACTGTCAGTCGGGAGTGTGGGATGAGCAGATACAAACTACTGTGTACAAAATAGATGAGCCACAGGGTCTTACTGTGGTGCCCAGGGAACTATGTTCAATAGCTTGTAATAACCTATAATGAAAAAGAAGATGAAAAAGAACATATGTATATACATGTATAACTGAACCACTATGCTGTACACCAGAAATTAACACAATACTGTAAATCAACTGTACTTCAATAAAAATAAGTAAACACTACAAACTCCGAATTGGACCTACCTGCAAGACAGGCAGTCTCCTGGGTCTGACATCATGGAAGCCTTCTTTGTGATTGCTCGGTTACTCTATTCTGATGATGGAAATTTGGTATTCAAGGAATAAAAAAAATAGATGAAAACTGATATTCAGTTCCTCTGAGTATGTCCAGCCTTGGCTATTTTCCATGGTAATGAAGCTTTCTTAAAACCTTCGCTTTACTCATACTTATAATGAAGTCTGTGTTTAATCTGCTTATTTCAAGTCTCTGAGGAAAACTGTATCAAGTCATAGATACTGGTTATGTTATGTACTGAGTACAAATGCCACATATACACATGGCTACCAATCTCTGCCGTTCTATACGTTATCTTTGACTCTTAACTGAACTATGAAAGGTCTAATTGGGAAATCTCATAGGTCACATCTTAAGGGATTACTGGCAATAATGTTCCTGTATCATTCCCAAACCACCTTTTATTTTTACCAAATCACCTATTTCATTGAACTTACATGCTATGTTAAACACGAGAAAATGTGTTTTCATTGTAAAGGGAAGTACGTATGGTCATTTTAACAAAATAGACAGCTTTCAAGAAAATTTCACTGAGTGCTTTCTGGATGCTAATGAATACCTACTAAAAGAAATGATTCTACATAATAAATGCAGAGCTGAAACTGCTTTATGCTAGTGTCTAGCAGCAATCCAATATTTTATTCTAACAAACCAAGAGGGTAAAATTTGAATGGAAACGCAAGATGTAAGCATGATAAAACTTTGTTCTCCTGTGGCCTTTTTCTCTGCAGGCATATAGGTCGCCAAAAACATGAGCAAAGCCTCAGAACCAAGGTGACCCTTGTGGCGGTAATGAGGGAGGGCTGAGGCGTACAGGAAGCTCACAAGGGTGTCCGTGGCTTCTGTTATGATTCAGAGAAGCCCAGAGAATAACACTTAAGGTTCTAAACTTTTTAAAGCAGGCTTTCCCCCTCTTTTTGTCATCACAGGATTACAGAGTGAATATCTTTCTCCGTCAGAAGTGGAACGACCCTCGTCTTGCCTACAGTGAATACCCTGACGACTCTCTGGACCTAGACCCGTCCATGCTGGACTCCATTTGGAAACCTGATTTGTTCTTTGCCAATGAAAAGGGAGCCAACTTTCATGAAGTGACTACGGACAACAAATTGTTAAGAATTTTCAAGAATGGAAATGTTCTTTATTCAATAAGGTAAGCCATGGACTTAAGTTTCTGATTTCAGTGAAACAGAGTAGCATTTTCTTTAGTTTTTAGTGAGTGTTTTGAAATTTTTGAGTAAGTGCTTTCATTGTTCCACTTAAGCTCCTCTAATATACCATTTCCTAAATATATTTAATCAGCAACAACATATCAAGTTCCAGATCCAGATCCAGTTCCAGTTCCCACTATTGTAAACAAATGGCTCAAATTCTTACATCAGCCAAGTTGGTGCGTGGCTCAGGGGCACACTGGATGTAGCTGAATCACATGTTGTGATTGCATTTTTATGTATGCATTCTTCCTTTAAATATTTATAGGTGAAGAAATACTTATGTTTGCTTGGAATCCACTTGCCATGAATTATTTCAGGTATATGCATTTTTTAAGTTCTCCTTGAGCTTCTCCGGGCATCCTTTAGAGAAAGATCTTATTTACATTTTTGTTATTTATTATACATTTCTCAGAAGACCATGTAGGCTTTTAAAGCTAATACAAACATAACAAAAATTAATAGCATAATGTAAACACTAATAATAACATTTCTTGACTGTCGAACATTAGAATCATTCAATTTTGGCTGTTCATTAAATATCAGACAGGTATAAATTCAGTAAATAGCTATGTACAGCAATCTACTTGGTGATTTCTGTCCCACCTGAAAAGTATTGTAAAATAAAATGATTATCTTAAATTTTCCATAATTATTTCCATCATTTAGTTCAGTTCAAAAAAAAGAAAGCAGGATATTAAGGCCAGAATTCATATTTCTTAGGAGAGATAATGTGCTCTATTTATAGGTACAGGCAACTGCTTCAGAAATATTTGTATCACCAGGAGCGTATTTTAGAGGTATCGAGGTAAATTTAATATTGGGGCTTTAGGCTGAATATTAATTCCTTAGATTTTATATCTCCATTTTCTCTTTTGTTAACTTTTCTTCTCATCAAGAGTGGATACGCCTGATTTTGGGTGCGTCTGCCCACTCTCAGGGATGGTTGCTGTTTTCACAGATAATAGTGTGAAACAGAAATAACGGGAATGAAAATGTAATCTTGGTAGCTTAGTGATTTTGAAAACTTTTTTCTACAAAAATCGTTTCATGAATAATGCAGGTCTCTGTATCCCAATATATTATATCTGGTTTTCATATTTGTCTATTTCATGTGAGCAAATTTCCCTTCAATATTATCATTTCCTGAGAATGACAAGGTGGCATCACTCTGCTGTGAACTGACACTTGCACCAGAGTCCTGAAAACTAGCTAACATGTGTTCATATGCTCCTGAATTATTAATTGCTACATGGGGCATAAAGGGAGATTTCAGATCTCATCATTACTTAAGCCCACATGAATGACTGACTTAATGGTGAATCCTAGGTCTAAGCAAGAGGACTTTGAACTGTTTTTGGAAAATCACTAAAAACCGTAAGTATCAAAAGACAGTGGGAAGATGGAGCAGACACACGTTTCCCTGTTTCTTCTGCTGAGTACAGCTGAAAACCCTAAGCACAGAATAGACAGCAGACTCCCAGTGACAGCTGTGAGAAGACGGACTAAGGGCCTGGGAACCCAAGAAGCAACATGGAAGTGAATTCATGGGATTATTTTTTTCTTCATAAATTTCAGACTTGAGGATGAAGAAGTCAGTAACCTGGAAACACCAACAGGTACGGGCAGAAAGAGTCCCAACAGAAGTCTGGTTTCTCCAGCCAATCTAGCGTTCTCCAGATCTTAGAAGAGGGGCAGGCTAGCAAGACAGAATATCACTTTATTTCAGCCAAATACCACAGAAGAAGATGTGACTCAAGCCAGCAAAGGCCGAGTGGGAAGCCCAGATGCCAATCTTGCTGGGCGGTGATGAGTCCCCCGGCACCCATGCCAAAGTGGTGCCAGGAAAAGCTGAAGAGTGAGCTGGGCTCTCCTCTCCGACCAGCCTGTAGTTAACATGGTGTCCATGGAGATCACGGGGAGAGCCAGGAATTCCATCTTCCCTGAGCAGTAACATAGCAGCCCTCTCTTTTCCTTCAGGCAAAATCCTAGAGGAATTTCAGAGGAGTCCTAGGGGAGAGTCGAGACTTTCAAAATCCCCCAGCGGTAACGAGACTCCCTCCCACCATGGTGTCGGGGAGTCCATGCAGGGAGCTGGAACACCTGGCAGCGACGAGGAACCCCTCCCCTCACATGTCAGTGGATGCTGATTAAGGAACTTGGATGTCTGCCTCTACCTGGAAGCAGCATGGTAGCACCCACACCCCCTTGCCCTGATGGAGCAGCATCAGGGACAGCCAGTGCCAACAGAACATTTAAATAAGATCTGGAGTCTTATAAAATAATACAAAGATGTCTAGGCTTCAACCAAAAATTAGTCACCATATGAAGAACCAGAAAGTTCTCAAGCTGAATGAAAAAAAGACAATCAATGGATGCCAATGTCAAGAGGACAAGGATGTCAACATTACCAGACAGGCTCTGAGGTGGCCATGACGAAAATGATTTAGTGAGCAATCGCAATATGCTTGAAACAAATGAAAAAATAGAAAGACTCCGCAAAGAAATAGAAGATACAGAGTAGAACCAAATGAAAATTTCAGAACTGAAAAACACAACAATTAACATAAAAACCTAGTGGATGGGCTCAGGAGAAAAATGGAGAGGACAGAGGAAAGAATCAGTGAACTGTAAGGATAATAAAAATCATTCACTCTGACCAACAGAAATGACAGACTGGGGGCCAGGAGAGGACAGAGTCTCGGGGACCTGTGGTTGTATAACAAAAGATCTAACGTTCATGTCATTGGAGTCTCCGTAGAGAAGGAGCACAGGGTAGAGAGCTACAAAAAATATTAGAGGAATTAATGGATGAAACTTGCATAATTTTTGCAGAAGGTACAAAGGCAATGGTTCAAGAAATTGAGTAAGATAGTCACACCAAGTCACATCATATGCAGACTTCCAAAAACTAAATACAGATCTTGGAAGCATCTGGAGAATAACAACACCTTACCTACAGGGGAAATACAAGTGAAATGGTAGCTAATTTCTCATCAGAAATCGTGAAGACCACAAAGAGGGGACAGGTAATTTTCAAGTGCTGCAGGAAGGGACCTGTCATCCTAGAATCTTGTATCCAGTGAAAATACCCTTCAGGAGTGAAGGGGAAATCGAGACGTTGACGGATAAAGGAAGACGAAGAGAATTTGGCACAAGTAGACTTGCCCTGAAAATACAGCTCAAGGGAGTTTTCTAAACAGAAGGGAAACAATAAAAGAAGAAGGAAGGGCACATCAAGGGGGAAGAAAGCAAACTGTCGTCAGAAATATGAGCAAATAAAATAGACTTTTATTCTCCTCTTGAATTTTCTAAATTAAACTTTGACATTTGAAACAAAAAGTATAACAGTGATGTAGGGGACAATGAAAAGTAACCAATAAGAAAGCATTTATTTTTAAGAACCACATTGGCAGAAATTAACAAGACTGTACAATTCAATGTTGCCTGATGACCTTTTCGTAGGTGCACAACTTGACATTAACTGCTTGGGAAGATGGCTTGTCAGGGCACGTAAAATATGAAATTTGTTTATCCCCCAACTCAGAAATTCTGCATCTCGGGATTGACATTATAACGTGTCCACGTGTACACAGGACATATTTACAGACATGCCCGCTGCAGCACTGAGAAACAAAAGACCCTGTTCATTCACTGTTAAGAACGTGGAACACAGTGACAGCCCAGCGTCATGAAATGCCCTGCAAGACACAGACCTAAATATATTCATGAGAAAGAGCCTCCAAAGTACGTTTAAGGTTAAGGGCAATGTTTTATGCTGACTTCTGTTTAAAACATTCTATATATTTATTAGAACTGTGTACGTAAAAATGTGTATATATCTGAATCCATACAAAAAGTCATGAAGGATGCCCAACCATTGGTTAAGAATGACCAACTGTGGAAATGAGCAGTAGAATTTGGGTGGGAATAAAGGTGAATGGTAGATTTCACTGTATATATACAGGTTTATATTGTTTGAGTTTTTCAGTCAGAGTTGCATACTACTTACAGATCAGACATGTGTATTTTAAGTGACAGAGCCTCTTAACCTGACATCGTGGTGTTTGACTCCCCTGTGGTGTGGCTTAATGGTGGATATCAGGAGACCCACGATAGGGGGCAAACAAAGCAAGTTTACTTCTTTTCCTGCTAATTTGAAAATTAACTTAGTGAAAGGTACAATTTATTTTTAATTATAAACTGCTTTTTCATTTCAGACAGATTTTGGGTATTATAGGTTGTCAGAATATATCCCCAGGTAGCGTGGAATAATCATTCTGCAAAATTATAATGTCTAGAAGATTTCCATTGATAGAACTGAAATACAGTGTGTGTGTGTGTGTGTGTGTGTGTGTGTGTGT